GATGAGAACGCCATTCAGGTCTCCCAAAGAAGAATAGAAAGAGCTATGCTTGGAATATCACGTTTCACTCAAATGAGAGAACGAATCCGGAGTTCTGACATCCGTCCACGATCAAGGATCAGGGACGCTGTCTCATTTGCCAAGGTGTCGAAAATCAGATGGGCTGGTCACGTAATGAGATTTAAAGACGACCGTTGGACTAGAGCTGTTACTGATTGGATTCCACGGGATGTCAAAAGACCGCGTGGCCGCCCACCTACCAGATGGTCAGACTTCTTTGTCAAGGTCATGAACGATCGGTTTGAGGCCCTCCATGTTCCCGGAGCGAAGAGATGCCATTGGGCTACACTAGCACGCGACAGGGACAAATGGAGACGTTACTGGCGCCCGCTCGAGCAAATCGACGACTAACGGGAAGTTAAGTGATTAAGTGATTAAGTGATTTTTTGTAAAATTATGGAACATATGAAAGCAAAAATGTTGTTTGCTTATGAAAGCTCAGTAGCTCAATGTTCCTAAGAGTTAGTCAAAGTTTATCTTGACTTTATAATTCTAACTTTAATATAAGCAATTTTAGCTTTAAATCAGTGGAAATGAGGAGGAGGGAGAGTTCCCACAAACTTCTATATTCATCTCACAGGCTAGAGTCATTTGGCAACCAATCCATAGAAACATACCATTAAAGTCATCAGCTATAGCAGCATTCTTATATATGAGGTAATAAGAAACCATAGAAATAATCCAAGTTAATATTAATTTCAACGTTACAGCTTTGTTGCCAAAACTTAGCACATTCCAGCGCTGAGTTGTCACTTTCCTAGTTTCAATCAGAACATTTTCAAAAATTCCAATAGGGTCAACCCCAGTCTGAATCCTGCCCCCACATATGTCCCCCAAAAACTTAAAGAAGTGAACCTTGGGTACAGACTCAAGCATAATCCCTGAACAACAAAAGTATGGTCCCTAAACAAATTAAAGAAAGAAGAATCAACACAGAAATTGTATTATATTAAGTTAAAGATTAAATTAGATTAAAAACAGATGAATCCACATACTCTAAGCAAGAATACCAGCAGTGCTAATTGTTTCTCATGTGACTTTGAAAAGGACATTTAGTTGTTTTTTTTTTGTATTGTTTTAAGATTTTTTAAAAATTTTTTTTAAATTTATTTTTATTTTTAGTGAAACACCATGAGGTACAGTTGTAGATTTACAATTTTTTGTGCTTGGGTTTTGATTATACAATGATCAAATACCCATCCCTCCACCAGTGCCCATTTTCCACCACCATGGATAATATCCCTCCCACCCCCATCCCCCCATCCCCCCTGTCTCTGTGGCAGGGCAATCCCCTGTGTTCTCTCTCTCCTTTTGGGTGTTGTGGTCTGCAAAAGAGGCATTGAGTGGCAAACATGTTCAGTCCATAGTCTACTTTCGACATGCATCTCCCCTCCTGGGAGGGTCCCCCAAATACCCTTTGTTTGGTGCTCCCTTCTCTATCTGAACTGCCCTTTCCTCTAGGATACCCAGCTGGCCTCTAATTTATGGAGTAATCCTCCTGGTGCTGATCTCAGCTATTCTTGGGTATTAATCTCATATTTTGTTTCTTTATGTTCCCCAGATGAATGCAATCTTTCTATGTCTATCCCTCTCTTTCTGACTCATTTCGCTTAGCATGATACTTTCCATGTTGTACCACTTGTATATAAATTTCATGACTTCATCTTTTCTAACAGCTACATAGTACTCCATTGTGTAGATGTACCAAAGTTTCCTTAACCAGTCATCTGTTCTTGGGCATTCAGGTTTCTTCCAGGTTCTGGCTATTGTAAAGAGTGCTGCAATGAACAAACAAGGGCAGATATCACTTCGACTATACATTTTTGCCTCTCTGGGATATATTCCCAGGAGTGGTATTGCTGGGTCAAATGGGAGCTCAATTTCTAATTTTTTGAGGACATTTAGTTTCTTGAGACTCAATTTTATCATCTGAATCCCATTTCACATAGAAATATTAGTGATGAATCTTGAGAAGATTTTATAAATAGAATTTTCAAATATGTAAAATTGTTTTATAGAATGATTCATACTATGCGTTGTTCTAGTGCTTTTGATACCTTATAAGCATTGAGCAAATATTGATTACCCTTATTTTTGTCGCTTACTATTCCACAAATTCCTTCACGACACATCTAGTCTCCCTAGACTACAATATTCTTATCTAAGGCAGGTGAACGTCGTAAAGGAAAGAAATAGGTTTCTGTTAGATTCGGCTTAAGGCAAACTATAGAGATCAATCCAGTTTTAATCACTTTATTCCTATTCCCTTTGCCAAAATTCTAAGTAGTGAGTTCTGGTCTCTAGATTATGTGTAATAAGACTAGACAATAAGCTTCAGGGAGCCTGGTTTTTATAGTCTCTGGATCCAGGTCGTTGATGGGATCACACGGCACTATGGACAATTGGTGAGTGTAACTGCCTAGCTACTGGAAGATGGGGGATCTGGGTGGAGGAGGCCCTGTCCCAATTCGTGCAGGCTTGGAGATCTCAGCCCCGGGTGCCACACACCTGGGTTCCTCTGCCAGTTGCCTCATGCATAAGTCTCACCTGAGCCTGTGGAGAGTGGTCTTGAGCATGGCTGTCACTGGGTTCTGGAGGTCTTCAGCTGCTGGGGCTCTGCTTGGGATAGGGAAGGAAACTCAACATGTCCCACTCCAAGGGGTCCTGGTGAAGACATCCAGGCACAGGGGCATGGGACTTTGCATTGTCCTCTTCCAGCACCTTGGTTTTATAGTCTCAATTCATCCTGTTGTTGTTTTATTTTTTTATCCAAAGATGTCAATTATTTTTAAGTGAGTCTTTTTTTTATTTTACGTAGGAGTACTGCTATTTATTCAGCCATTTGCTTGAGTAAAGTAAAGTAAAGGCCCTCCCGTTGATCATCGATTTGCTCGAGCGGGCCCAGTAACGTCTCCATTGGAGATTTTGTTGTTACTGTGTCTGGCATATCGAATACTCTCGGTAGCTTGCCGGGCTCTCTGAGAGGGGCAGAGGAATCGAACTCAGGTCGGCCATGTTGGCTGCATGTAAGGCAAAGGCCTTACCCGCTGTGCTATCGCTCCTGAATTGGGCATGAACTCCCTATTACTTTTAAAATCTTTTAAATGAATATTTTGGGATAGACCATTACAAATCTGTCCATAATTGGGTTTCAGCACCCATCCCTCCACCAGTGTATATTTCCCACCCCTGTTTCCCTACCACCATCCCCCAACACTCCACACCCCACCCCCAGCCTCGCTGTATGGGTGGTACTTTTCTTCTTGCTCTCTCTATCCTTTTCCTTTTATGCATTATGGCTTGTAACACAGGTCTAAGAGGTCATGGTTTTTTGTTTAGGACATTTGGTATATTTATCAAGATGGTAAGGTTGCAGTAGCTTTTCAATTGGGTGGCAGTTTTAATTTCTTGATAAACTTGGTGCCAGGTTGTTGAGGTCTAGCCAAAGGCTCAGAGGCAATTTTAGTGTATCAGGCTGCTGATGCACTCACCCTGTAGGCACAGGTTGACCTGCTGGCAGCACCATCCCTCTAAGTGAGTCTTATGTGTAATTTACGGTCAGAGTAAAACACTACTTTCACATTTATAACTAATGCTCTGTAAAGCTGAAACTAACTGACAAGATTTCTACATACGTGAAGAATCCTGTTTTCTAGAACCTTGAAATGTAAAACCACTTATTCATCAGAAACTTAGTTTGGCAGTTAATTTTAAATGAACCAAAAATGAAAAAGACAGCATTTTAAAAACTTGTAAAGGACATTTACTTGCTGATTTCATATTCATCTCCACTTTTTAAATTGTCCATACTAAAGCTTCCTTTAGATATTTTTCCTTATTCTGAACACTATTAATTGGGGTTGGGGGTAACCCCGGTGGTACTCAGGACTTACTTCTGGTTCTGTATTTAGGGATCAATCCTGGTGGACTTAGGGGGCTATATTGCTGTCAGGGGTCAAACTCATGTCAGCCACTTGAACGTCCAGCCCCCTGAATGCTCTATTATCTCTCTGGCCCTTTTGATTTTTAAGACCACTTGATAACATGTGTGCACTGAAGTATATCCTTTCCTGCTTCTTTATATCTAATTAGTTTTTATTTTACAATGATCACACTTTGGTAAATTTAGATTCTACTGTTTTCCTGAATAAGGAATATTTTCTTTATAAAGACCATTATTTCTCTAGGGTTGGTAAAAGAAAGGGGATTTCAACATGTCTTATCATCCATGGAGGACTCTTGCTTTGGAGGATTTTTGGTGTTGAGTTGACAGTAATTCTGTCCAACAGCAAATTCAACGGCAGTCAGTTCCAACTGCTTATTCTCTAGGGAAAAAATCAGAGAAGACTTGGGAGCATTGAGTGTCACATATAAAAATTATAGATGTTAAAAGAGGCAGCACCAAACCTACACTTGCTTATGAAAAAATAATTTGTTTAATAGTCCCATATCTAAGAAGGATTCTTAATTGGGATGATGCAAAGTATGATGGAAAAGGGAAAATATTGAGCCAATGGATAAATCTGAAACTTAGAAACCATTATTCCTTCAGTTGCTCAAATATCCCCTATCTTCTTCCTTGGAATTGCCTAATTTTTTCTCTTAAAAGTTCTTAAAAGAACTCTCTTTTTTTTAAATATGCAGCTTTCTGCTGCTAATGATTTTTTAATTTATTTTTTTAATTCTATTGAATCACCATGAGATAGTTACAAGCTTTCATGTTTGGGTTATAATCACACAATCATCAAACACCCATCCCTCCACCAGTGCACATTCCAGCAACCACCAATATCCCCGATATACCACTGCCCTTTCCCACCCTCTCCCTGCCTCCATGGTAGACAATATTCCCCATAATCTCTCTCTACTATTGGGCATTATGGTTTGCAATACAGACACAGAGAGGTTATCATGTTTAGTCCTTTATCTACTTTCTGCACAAAAATATAGAACGCTTCAAAATTTGCATGTCATCTTTAATCAGGGCCCATATTAATCTTCTCTGTATTGTTCCAATTTTAGTATATGTACTGCTGAAGCAAGCATGAACTTTCTCTTCTTAATCATCAGAGACAGTGGTTATAAGGTGTGTTTGTACAAAGTTCTCTCCCATGCCTCTCCAATGAAACAAATGATCTTATCTGGCATTCAAAACAAGAGAAGGGTTTGCTCTTACATTTAGACTCAGCCAACAAACCATAAAAGATCATCCAGTTAAGGTCACACTTCCGATAAACAATGAGAATTATTCCGTAAAATTTACATCAATATGAACAGGTGAACTGTGATATTTGACAAGACTGCTACAGAGGTATATAATTGTCATAACCTAGAATTTTATTCATTGCTATCCAAAATCAGTTAGTGGAACCCTATATTTCATCTGACATTCCTACACATTGAGGTCAAATTCCATTCAGAGACATCACTATCTTTAAGGAATGGGGCCACTCTGCTTAGTCACATTCTCTTCCTAACTCTGTCACCATAAGTATAAAGTCTTACATCCAAAATAAATAAATAAATACTGAGGAAAATATTGGCATTTAAAATCAAAGTAATAATATGCCCCTCCATAACAGAGATGACTAAAAGTACTCAAAGAGGATCCGAGAATAAATAAGTCAAATCCATTCATCATTTGCTAAGCACTTGGCTTCAAAATACAAGATCTGGTCAAATTTGGTTTTTACAGTTGATGAGCCTCATTATTATACACTGCCGGTGATTACAGGACAAAGCCACAGAAATTTCTCTGATGGTTTTAGAAACAGAATAATCCCTGTGTAATTGGTACACTGGTACAAAAGACAAGTGGTAGGGATAAACTAAATGACTATGTTTTAATGTTGGGGGCATTGCCAGGTTGGCGGGAAGTCTTACTTTACAGGCTTCTTGAGATACAGGAAGCTTCTTGAGCTTCTAAGTGGTTATTATAAAATAATAAACAAAAAAATCATTTAACCGCAGAATCAGGCAGGATGACAGAAATGTAGGCTTGTCTGAGTTTGGCAGCAGCATACTTAATTACATTGACAATGCGTGGCTATGTCATTTCTTAGAAACTAATTATCCCATTATTTTGGAAAGAAAACTGTCCCTAAGGAGAGAGATTTTGAAATACATCTTTTATCCAAAGATTTCAAATACTGTATAGAAAATCATGATTAGTTAATCATGATGATTAGTTGATAGAATGGTTTTGGTTTTTAAACTTTAATATTAGGATAATAATTTTAAGCATCAATATTTAAATATAGTGGCAATCGAAAGAATTGAACTTATTCTCATAGAATTTCAAAAGTCAAATGTAATTTGTCAGAAAGGGACACGTTTTAAAATAAAAGCTTTTTATTTTAGAATGGGAAAGAAAATAAAGTTTCCTAATATAAGTTTCCTTAACAACAAGTCTCACAATGGAGACATTACTGGTGCCCACTCGAACAAATCAATGAACAACAGGAGAACAGTGCTACAGTGCTAATATAAGTTTAAATGGAAACACACTTTTCTATAGGTAAATAATGAAATATCAAAGATTATTTATATTTGATAAACAACACTGTTATAAAGACAAATATCTCTATGAGCTTGAGACAAGCACACATATTAACAGAAAAATAAAAGAAATAGTTGGCCTTACATTGAAAAGAAAAGGTAGCGAATTGCTTTCACTTTGAAAGGTATCAGCATGGAGATGGTTTTAAAGACTAACAGAGGAAGAGACATGCGCTATGATAAAGTATTCTCTTTGAACCAATTGCTCCTCTCTGAATTCTCCATCTTTCCCTTCCTAGTTTATCTTTCTTTGCTACTTATCCTTTTCCCAGGGATCCTTCTCTACACTCTTCTCCCTTAGCAATTATCCCTGCATATAATGCTATTTTTTGGTGTAAGTAAAGTAAAAGCCCTCCCGTTGATCGTCGATTTGCTCGAGCGGGCCCAGTAACGTCTCCATTGGAGACTTTGTTGTTACTGTGTCTGGCATATTGAATACTCTCGGTAGCTTGCCGGGCTCTCCGAGAGGGGAGGAGGAATCAAACTCGGGTCGGCCATGTTGGCTGCTTGTAAGGTGAACGCCCTACCACTGTGCTATCGCTCCAGCCCTTTATTGCAGCCATGCCATGCATTACACCACTCTGATGCTTTTCATACTGTAGTCTATGTGCCTTGAAAACCTATCAGCTTTTATGTGGCAATCTAATATGGATGGTCCAAATTTCTATCACTTTTCGTTTTGCTGATCTGCAGCAGAAAACCTTTGTTTATACAAGAGTACCATTTAACCATAAAATAACTGTCAACTTTATTTATGCTTTAATAGCAAAAACAACTAAAAAAGAAGGTCTTTATCCATTGAAATAAAAAAAAATATGAGATCCTGGAAGGGAGCATGACATGAGGCCCCCATAGCCATGCCACCAGACTCTGTGCCAGGCTGTTTTCACTTGGGGCGCCCCAGAGGTGGGTGGGTGAGATCCCTCTCTGCTCCAAGGGAACCAGCCCCGGCAGCCAACCTCCACAACCCAACTGCTGCCATGCCCCAGGCCGCTCCTCACACGTTCGGGCCACGCCTCACATATGAGTGAACATATTCCTGGACACATCATAAATCACTTCCTACCCATTATCCATATTGACCACACCACATTTGGTGGGGTTCAGATTGTAGGCAACAGATAATAGAGGAAATATATATGCATATATAAATATTTTCAGATGTATATACCAAAGCTCACATCACCCAAATTTTAACAACATGTTAGTGATAATCTTCTCCATTGCCGTTCTGGAGGATGTGATGGATCCATCAGGACGTCGGAGGGCAGTCATCTTGCTCTTATAGTTGGCGAAGGACAGGCGGGCATTACGAATACTTTTCCCGGCTTCTGCCGCATCTACCAGTACTTCTGCTCTTCTCTCTTTGAGTTCTTCCTTGATCGAATCTCTGCACTGCTTTGCAAGCTCGGGCGTTAGCTTGCGGTTGCCTGAGGCATACGCCAAACCACGCTGGCGAATTAGCTCAAGAGTTTTCGAAGATAGGCGACTTTTTGTGGCTATCTCTCTCTTGGCGTTCCTCGCACATTCATGGAGGTGCTGAACCAGTCGATCGTATTCCTCGTCAATGTTGTCAACAATGGCATCTTCCCATGTTGCCGCAATAGTACCAAAGAGTTCCCAGTTGGTGGTCATTTTGGGAGCTCTCTTTTTGAACTTTGCAGCCCTTTCTCCCCGCTCTGTGAAGAGAATTTTGCACGAAGGAGACGGTGGTCCGATCCCATTCGAAATTTTGGGACAACAGCGACATCAGTCAGGCAAAACCGTCGATTGAATATGATGTGGTCTATTTCGTTGTGGAATCGTCCACCAGGAGACTCCCATGTCCATCGTTTAGATTCTGCCTTCTGGAACTGTGAGTTACCATGAATGGTCTTGGTCGACATGATGAACTCAGACAGTCTCTCACCCTGTTCGTTCCATTCTAGGCCATGGGTCCCGATGTGAAGTTCTTCAGCTGATCTTCTCAGTCCTATCTTGGCATTAAAATCACCCACAATGTTCTTGTAGAAGGTGTGGTCTTCTTTATAGAACGTCTCTAGCTCCATGTAGAACTTCTCGATTTCTCTTTCATCATAATGAGATATTGGTGCGTAGACAACGAAGATAGAAACTGCAGGCAGTGAGCCACATCTATTCAAATGTAAACGTCCGATTCGGGTTGTTAGGCATTCGAATGAATCAATGCTCTTGGCCAAGTTTGTGTTGACAAGGACACCGACGCCTCCGACACCTCTTTTATCGCATGTTCCGAGGAACAATTCTTCTCCAGTGTCGAAAACGGCATGGTGAGATTCGTGCCTTCTTGTCTTGGTCAGACCAATGATGTCGTACTTGATCATTCGCGCTTGTACCATCAGGTCCTCGATGGATGCATCTGATGCTAGCGTACGTGCATTCAAAGTACAGACGATCATTTTTGTCTTCCTTCGTTGTGGCAGCCTAGGTTTGCCTTGAGATTTTGTCGGCCTCTCCTTTCTCATCCTTCTCAGTGCTGCCATGTCGGTGAAGCCTCCAGGGTCAGGTGAATGAGACCAGTTGTAGTTACTGGTTTTGGCATATCGAATACACAGCGGATAGCTTGCCAGGCTCTTCCGTGCGGGCGGAATACTCTCGGTAGCTTGCCAGTCTTTCCGAGAGGTATAGAGGCTTTTGGCGTGACCTCTAATCCCCCTTGTAGGTGTTACCATATTTGAACCCTATCAAATATGGTACGACAATTCCAGAAGATGGGTATTTAGTGTCTTATGATGTGTCGCGCGGGTCAGGAAAGCGTCCTGGAGTGTGGCGACGGCTGGGTAGTGGAAGTAGTGTCGAAAGTGGAAGTCTGCCAGTGGGGTATTTATCTGGGTAGGGTGGGTCTCCTGTGCACAATTCGATCCCTGGGTGGTTGATGGAAGCAGACAGGGCAGGGTAGGGTGGGGCTCCTAATTAGAATCCCTTTGTCACCTGTGGTGGTGGGAGCAAGCAGAGAAGCTCTGTCCCTGGGTCCGCCGAGCCTGGAGTCCAAGTTCTCAGAGAGTTCCGCTTGACTTCTACTCAAATCTCTTCGATAGCCATGTCCACTTGCCGACATACCAAATTCCACAGGATGGGTATGTCGTTATCAACGTTCTCCCTTCCAAAATCCAACACGCCATTTCGTCGGTAAAGAAGCAAACAGCACCCGGCCCAGACAAGGTCAGACCTGAACACCTGAAGAACCTGCCGTCAGTACTCATCAATACACTGGCTCGGCTCTTCACTCGCTACCTGTCTGAATGCAAGGTTCCGTCCCAATGGAAAACCAGTAGGACCGTACTACTGTTCAAGAAGGGAGACATCCATGACATTGGCAACTATCGCCCGATCTGCCTATTGTCTGTCATCTACAAGCTGTTCACTCGAGTCATCCTGAATAGGATTGGCAGAACACTAGATGAAGGACAACCATGTGAGCAAGCAGGGTTCCGCAAAGGATTCAGCACCATCGACCATATCCACA